AAATGATTATAAAATGTTTAAATTCAACAATATAAGAAAATGAATTATTATCGGTTGTGAAAAAATTATTACACTCGACATTATATATCTTTAACTGATTCTCTCTATGTAAAAATACTTTATCTTTTTCATTGGTCATTTTTAAAATTATGAGTTATATTGATAGTCGAAACTTTCAATCAATAGTACATTACATATTGAATTAATAATTTAATACACTATAATGACATATTACTTTATTAACATGACTCACAATAAAATTGTTAAGTTGTACACTTAAAAATTAATTTTCTATGTATCACTATTATTACATGTAGCATTTTCAGATGAAAATTTTATTTTAGTTATTATTTTTCAACATTGACTTTGTTTTTTAAAATTTCAAAAGTGCATTCAGCCAAATGCATACGTGATATTTATATTTTTCTTTTGATTTTTTAAAGTACTTAATGAAAAAAATAAGAGTTATTCAACAAAAACGTGACACGTGGTATATTCATGCCATAAAAAATCTTGCACTATATATTAAGAAAACAAATAGTTTTATATGCCTACTATGAGTGTTAAATTAAAAACATAATGAAATGCTGATTGATTTATTGACAAAATTACCAATAAGTATTGAATTTTACATTATAATCAAAATATTCATTTATTTAGTAATATAAACGACATTAAAAAAATTAGTCTCTTTATGGACTTTTTTATTTAATAATCATGGATTTAAATATAAATTTATTGATTGACTTCTTCATTCTTATTAACAATATATAGTTTTCATGGAAAGCTTAATTTATTTTTTTAAAAAAAAATAACTAGTTAATTTGAAAAATATGTTCATACTTAAATGTTATCGAATTAGTAAGAACCCAATTTTCTCCAATATTTTTAAGATTTGGATTTTTCATTAAACATAATAATTATTATATATTAATATTATTGTTATTATTTATAATTTAAATAATAAATAAATTTATAGTAATTTGGACATAATTATAGGTGAATTTCAATGTAGGGTATTCCATAACAACTATAAAATGCTAGATTATTTCCCAAAAGCTTTGAATTTTAATAGAAAAAATAGATTTTCCATATAAAGTGATAATATTTGGCAAAAAAAAATTTCAATATCTAGACTTCATTCTCTTTAGTAATATATAGATTTGTATTGAAAATAAGTATGACAAATTTGACCACTAAATCTGCCCAACATCAGTTTTACTACAATAACTCTCACATTAGTCAACTCTTAGTTTCTTACGTTAGCCAAGTTCAATATACAATTCTATGTTAGCCAAGTTTATTACACAATTATATATTTCGTACATCCATATTCAAATGTCATTTTTTAAAAATAACACAAATAAAGTTTGACATATTAAAATATAAATACATGCATCTTAATTTGTTTGAAACGTATGCCAATTTATCCGTGGACATCAGGATTTGTGTAGTAATATTATTCAAACTAGGACAAAAATTGGGGTGATCCAGATGAATAGTTCAACAAAACTGGATCAGTAGGCTAATTAATTCCATTTTTTTCTTTATTTTTTTCCTTAATACACCATAATCTGGTAGAGTTAATGATTCTGATTTAGTTAGACATTCTCAAATTATTAGATTATATATAATGTTATGCATGCCTAGTCAAAAACTCACGTAATCTTAGTGGGTGACCACTACATAATAATCTTCCTTTATTTGTGCAGAAAAAATCAATATGGCTCCCAAAAGTCTTGAGTTAGTTGTTAAAGAAAAATACAATTGGAAATTTTCTAATACGCCCATAAATGGAAATTAGAAGATTTTTGTTGATCTCATATAGGATTTAGTATTTATGAAAATATTGATAACATAGTTTAAAGATTCGATAATCATATTCTTTTCAACATTATGTATGCTTTTAAATTAAAATGACATACTGTAAAAAAATAATAATATGAATATTTATAAAATAAATATATATTTTTTGTCAAACAAAGTACCACGAATTGACTCATTATAAGCTGCCTCATACGAATGGAGATAGAAATTAAAAATCTTGGCACTAGATTTAAGCTGGAAATTTATTAAATTTTATCAAATGAAAAACATATTATTCGCTTCGAATTGTATTAATTCATCAATTAAATTCTGTGAGTAAGTTACTCAAAATCTCCACCAATAAAGGTTGGCCATGGACAATCCGATATTAAATGATCGTAATTATTATGTTTCAGTAAAGTAAAAATACGAGAAGAGTATAACAATTTTGGGTTTTATAAATAGTCAAAATTAATGTCATCTTATATCAATTTTCCCTAATAAAAAACGCGCATTTTGTTTTTTTTATAAAAATGCCACATTTTTTTCCCTTTTCCTTTTCATTTCTTAAATTCCATTTTTTTCGAATTATTTCAAGAAAAAAAAGGGAAAATTTAAAACCGTAATTATCAATCGATTTTAAGGGAAGATATATAAATGGAGAGACAGAATCGTATTGACTTTGTAGACAATAGAGATTGTTGATTTGTTTCCCCTTCAATTTTCCATTCTCCATTTTCTTTTTGATTTTCATACATTATTTTCATTTACAGTCCTGATTGATTTTGTGGGCTTTTCTCAGTTATTTTATTCGAAAGTCTCTAATCTCAAACCTTTGAGCTCTTTATTTTGTATTTATCTCGCTCCAATTTTTGTGGGGTTTGGGTTTTTTAGTGGTTCCTATTTCTAGGGATTACCAAATTATTATTATTGTTTTTCTATTTTTCAGAAACCCAGTTTCGGTTCTTGTGGATTCATGCCTGATTGATGTTGTTCTGAGTTTATCTTGTCCTGAGCCATTTTTGTTGTTCTTCATATATTCTACTGTCTTGAAAGTTTTGCAGGTTTTCACAGCAAATTTCGAATCTTTTCATAAGCCCAATTGGCTTTGATAGGTACAATGTTGTCTCAACACATTGTGTTTGTGTAATGCTCAAAGTTTGAATCTTTTCATTAGTAGCCTTTTGGGCGTGTGGAAACAAA